TCTGGTTGCAATGTAGAAATATGGCTTATAAGGTAAGGCCACCTGCAGGAGTCACCAATCCACCCAAAGGCAATGAGCAAGAAAAAAGGGAGACAAAGTGAAGCAATCTGAATTCAAGGCATCAGAACTTTGACAACCCTTAGGAGGGAGAGCATATAGGAAATTCAGATCTGCATGTGTCTCAGGGGCAAGAACCTAAGAAATACAACACTGTCACTTCCTGAGCTAACTTCTCCCTGGACATCTTAATTGTGACTGAAGTGGCTCCCAGTGACCATGTTCCTGACAGGCTGTAGGCAGCTGCACCCTAGAAGCCTCCCATTCCTTCCCCAATAGCTGCAGCACTAAATAAACACTGTCATTTTGGACAACGGCTCCTCACAGGTGGGTTTTGGTTTCTTGGGGACAGAAGCTTACCTTAAATCTGCTTCCATCATCTTGAATAAAGTAGTAATCCACTGCACTGACTAAGCGTCTATCTTCATCTAAGACCTCAGTCTGCAAAAGAACCAGGTCAACATGGGCAGATTATCCTCTGCACAGCCTAAAGCCCTTCTGGGAAAGCAGAACAAATCATCATACCCGGCTCTTTATTCTACCCTGCAAAACCACCACCAAGCTGGTTCACAAGCACTGCATCATAGCAGCTCCCAAATGGGGATCTCTCTGAGTCTCTTCTTCATTGTTCTTAAAAGCTTCATTCCCATGGCAGACAGGGTGCCCCTGCTTTATTCTTCTCAGGGGCCTCTCAAAGCCCGTGATGATGTTGGGAGCAGAGAAGGCGGGCCAGGAACCAGCTCTCCCGCCTGTGTCAGACACAACAGACAGGCCCCCAGAGCTGCCCACTCTTTGGGTAAGGGTCACACTACATGAAAAGATGCAGCCACCTGCCTGGGGAGGACAGGCTGAGGAAAATACAGGTGCTCACAGGGTGCATGTTGATGAGCCAGCCGGTCTTCTCACCAGGCTCCTTCAACCTCTCAAAACCAAATCGCAAGTCCATCTTATCTGTCCACTGGCTCCGCTCCAGGCGCTTAAGCGCAGAGACTGAGGAAGTGGGGCCATCATCGCTGAATGAAAGAAGAGAATCCAGGTCTCACCACTTATGACACTACCCACCCCACAATCCTCAACCCACTGAGCTAAGTGCTTCTGATTGGCACAGTATGTGCCAAGACTGCTCGAAAGGCTCACCAAGGGAGAAGCAGGACAACAGCAGCCTCCTCTAAACCTGTCTGACTTTGGAAAGAGAACACTAATCAAAACAGCAATCACAGCTGGATGCTCTATCTTATGTGATACTATAAATACATAAAAACCAGCACTGTATTCCTTATCCAAGAGAAATGAAAACCAATGTTCATACAAAAACAGTGTATGTGAATGTCCACATAATAGCCAAAACCGACAAATGACCCAGATATTCCTCCACAGGCAAGTTGTCAACTGTGGTTTATCCATATACAAATACACTCAGCAACAAATGGATTCGCACAATTTGGATGGATTGCAAGAGAATTATACTGCATGATTAAAAGCCAAACCCCCAATCACAAACTTCACTATTCCACTTATATAGGACTTTTGAAATAAAATTATAGGAATGGAAAGCAGATTAACAATCAACAAGCATGGGAGAATGGCTACAGTCATAAAAGGCAGCATGTAGAACTCTCCCGCACTGCTCCATGCTTGATCTGGGTGGTGGCCACATGGATATCCTATGACAAAACTGCATAAAACCAAGTGCACACACATACATCAGAGTGCATGTGAGGCTGAGGGGATGGGATCAGTGTTGATTCCCAGCTACGACACAAAACTCCTCATGTACAACAGTACCAGTGGAGAAATCTGGTTTTTATTATTTCTGATTGTATCTCAACATTAAAAGGTGTTTCTTTTTAAATATGCAAAAATGAGAGTAGAGATGCTGGCTTATGACTGCTGAGATGAAAAAGATGCAGTGGACTCTAAGTACAGGAGAAAAGAGCAGTCCACCACTCGCTGAGAATCAAGCAAGGACCAGGATGAGACTCTGCACAGGGAGCCCAGATGCTCATATTAAGTCTCTTAAAGCAGAGCCAACAGGGCACATATATGTAAAAGACTCCAGCTAAGAGCTTTTCCCTTTCCTATGAAAGATTATAATTCTGCTCTTTTGTTGCAATTCCTCTTGTCTAGGAAAAATTCCAGATTAACCATCTCTGAATTTTACTGATACCCTCCAACCATTTGCCAATTGATATGAACTAGGGTCACAAAAATACCTGCTGTGGCAAAATAAACTATACCTTAAAAAGGTATCATATCCTGTAAGGCACCTGACTCTAGAGGTCAGCAGTCAAATGTTGATAAAATGAGGATTTATTTTTCTGTGGGAGAGAAATGGTCTCCACTAACAAGGAAACTAATTTCTCAGCTCTATAGTAACAATGTATCAGCTTCAAACTTCCCACACCTTTCTCTGGTTGGGATCTTGTAATAAGTCTTAAGTCTTCATATAGACTTTATCATAAATCTTAAATACAGTACCTAATGAAGATTTTCAACCACCAGAACTATCAAACCCATTCTGATTCCAGAGCTGTTCCTGTCCCCAAATGTTCACAGTCTTTAGCTTCACAGAGTGATGACACGTGGATGAACCAGTACAATTTCAGTTTACCAATCTTTGAAATATAGCAATCCTTATGTTTATTAGCATTCTAACTTTCAAAAAAGCTAGTTTCACTGACACAGTGGTTCAGGAGGATAGAGCAAGAGAATCACAAATTCAAGGCCAGCTTCAGCAACATAGTGAGACCCAACCTCAAAAATAAATAAATAGGGCTGGGGATATAGCTTGGTGGTACAGTGTCTCTGGGTTCAATTTCCAGTATGTACACACATACAAAAAGCTAGTTTCCTCTGGGTAACACAGTTCTAAGACTCTGAAGCCTTTATAATTTTGACCAGAGGCCTATTTATTTCCTAATCTAAGCATGTTCTCCACTCTTCAAAGACAGAAGCAAAAGACCCAACACCCTGTTTCTTTTTAATGTGAATCAGCACTTTAAAAAGCAGTGAGGAGGGGCTGGGGATGTGGCTCAAGCGGTAGCACGCATGCCTGGCATGTGTGCGGCCCGGGTTCGATCCTCAGCACCACATACAAGCCTAAGCCCACACATAATTCATGCCCTTAATTATAACACCAGTTGTTAGCTTACAAACCAGTGGATATACAACTCTTTCTTCAGAACAAGCCTTCTTTTGTGTGAAGGTTATTACTTGGGTCACCTACATTTGAGAAAAAGAATGACTACATTACAAGACTAAAAGCCTTACTTTTTTGTAAAGAATGATAACCACCATGGTAAGCAGATTAATGGCCCCATATGTCCTAATCCCCCAAATTTGTGTCTGCTACAGGAGGAAAGGGACTTTGCAGATATAGTTAAGGATCTGCAGGTAAGGGTTACTCAGGTAATCACAAGGGTCCAGGGAGAGGGAACTAGAGAGAAACGGGAGATGGGACAATGCTGACTTTGAAGATTCAGGTAGCTAAGGCAGCCTCTGGAAACTGTGTAACAGGCAAGGAAACAGAATAGCTCCCAGAGCCTCCAGGTCTCCCAGCCTCTAGAATGATAAGACAACAAGTTCATACTGCTTCAGTGGTGAGTGTAGGAGTGAGTGATACTCTGTTACGTCAGCGACAGGAAACAGCCCCATTCTACCGTTGACTTTATCTCTACAACATCTGGATTCACCTTTAATCAAGAACACAGAAAAACCACCCGAGGCCTTGCTAGAGAGCTTCAGGATTAGGCCCAGATCTTTATCAAAACAAAGGCCGAGTGAAGCCTGCTCGTGGAGTGGTGGGGCTGGAAAGCTGCTTGCTCAGCTCGACCTTCTCTGGAACCCTTTCTCTAAACTGCGCGTGTCCCTTTTTATCCAGTCACAGGACAAAACCTGGAAAACGGGGGACCGTCACAAGGCAGCAAGTGCGATATTCGCTCGGCATCACTGACACTGTCATTCAGTTTTCACGGTGAGCCTTAGAAGAGGACCGTCTGTATGTTAAAAGGTTACTCCCTATACATCCACATTGCACAGAAGGGGCGAGGCGTCCTCTGACAGCCCTCGACCGGTGGGAACCCGCTCACCCAACCGCTCGGAGCAGCCAGGGCTCTGCGGAAACTGGAGGCGACCTTGGGGCTTTGTACAAAGGCTGGAAGGCCTCCGCCTGTGTCGGCGGTGAACACAGCACCAAGCGCGCGTCGGAGCGGGGACGGCTGGCGGCAGGAAGAGCACTCCAGGGCCGGGACGCGGCTGGGCGCTGGCGCGCTGCACCCGTGAACCCAGGCGAACGCCGCTCCGCCCGAACCCGGGAAGACGCGGGCGGCAAGCACCTCTGGGGCTCGCCACCCGCGAGCTGCCGCGCTGGTCCCGCGCCCGCCTGGGGCCCGCGGCCTCCCCAGCCACGCCCCCGCCCGCTCAGCCGCCGCTCCCGCGGGCGCCCCGGGAGCAGGACCCTGGCCCTCACCGGCTGGCCTCGCCGTCCGTGCCCGGCTCCGCGCGCCGCAGCCCGCTGTTCCTCAGAACCATCGCAGCGCTCGCGGAACTCCTCAGCCTCCGGGACGAATTTGGCGCGTTCCCACCGGCTCTCGCGAGATACAGGAAGCACCGGCCGTCCAATCAGACGCCTCGCCTGAAGGGCGGCGCTCCAATCGGCGACCGTTCCGTCGGAGCCGAGGCTCGCGCGTGCGCAGGCGCGCTGCCTTGGGGAAGGGATCCGGAGGCGGGCGGCTGACGTCCGCGCAGAGGCCCCGCCCTGCTCCGCCCTGAGGGGCTCCAATCCGCAACGGCGCCTGGGGGGACGGTGCACTGCCAGGGACCGCGGAAAAGTGTGTGGAGGTGCGCGCCGCGCACAGCAGTGTGGGTGCCGGGCCGCGCTGCGGGTCGCGGTGAGTCGGGAAATGTCAGGCTGTCCCCGCCCCGCCTCCTCGACCACGGGCCCCAGGTCCAGCGCCCGACTGCCCTGCGGTCGGGTCGGCCGGGGCTGCGCGCAGCGGGGACGGTGATGGCGCCTGCGGCGTCTAGGCTGCGGTCCGAGGCCGCGCTCGGGTCGCTCCCTCGGCGCGCGCTCACCCAGTACCTGCTGCTGCTGCGGCTCTACCCGGTGCTCACCAAGGCGGCCAGCAGGTGGGCGTGCTGCAGGAGGGGTCGTCGGAGAGGGGAGAGAGGGGCTACAGGGCAAGAGAGGCAGGCAGAGGGGAGGAGAAGGGGGCGCAGGGGAAAGGAAGTTGGCGGAAGGGAGGGCCACTCCGCAGCACAGAGCTGCGCTGACCATTCTGCAGCCCGTGGGCGCCCAGGGCAAAAGCCGCAGGCGTCAAGGTGACCCCACTGCCCTGTTTGAGCAGAAGCAAGGGGCGGCCTGCAGGTTGGGTCCTGAGCGAGGTCGTCGCCCCTCCAGGTGTAGACCAGAGCCTTCTGGAGGGACCTCCCCATCAAAAGACTGTTGCCAGCACGACAGAGCTGGCAAGCTCTGCCCTTTCTTTGAGTATTCAAGTTTTTATGAGTCATTCCTTCTTTCTTGGGTTTACTAATTTTGTAGGGTTGTTCTCTTTGTTTTATTAATTCAGCCTTTCATAAATGCATAGCGTGCTTCGTGTGTGCTGGGCAAAAAGTTGCGTTCAAAACAGGTGCAGAAGTTCCCCCTCTCCCAGAACTACAAAGAACTAGAGAAACAGCAGATAAATACATGACCTAGAACGGTCAGGGAAGTTTTTCCTGCAGAAGTAACATTGAACGGGCTGCAGAGACATGAAGCAATAGCTCTGGGGGCAGAGGGCACACCAGGAGGAAGGTGCTGGGGGTGGTGCAGGTGCAGGTTGCAGTGGGAAGGTAGATAGGTGAGAAAAGAGGGGAGCCCGAGGGCTGCGCAGCAGATCAGTGGTAGAGCACCTCTGGTTCTTTCCCCAGTACTGGGGTAGGGGTGTCTGTAAGTCCACACTAAGAATTTTGGATTTGTGCGTGTGTGTCTGGTACCAGGGATTGAACCTAGAGGCATTCTGCCAGTGACTTGCACCTCCACCCTTTTAAAATATAAAATTTTGAGATACCATTTTGTTAAGTTGCCTAGATTAGCCTTGAATTTGTGATTCTCCTGCCTCAGCCTCCCCAGTGCTAGGATTACAGGTGTGTACCACTGTGCCCAACTAAAATTTTGGATTTTGTAGCTTTCAGGAAGCAGCTATGAACTCCAGCCTCAGAAGGTGTGACTAGGCCTTTTTCTACCTTCTTTATTGAAATTTTTATTGCAGTGATGTAGATTTGCACATACTTGTAAGAAACAACACAGATATCTCTAGTACCCTTTGGAAACTTTCCCCCTGCAGCTCTGGGGATTGAACACAGAGGCACTTAACCACTGAGCTATATCCCAGTCCTTTTATTTTTTATTTTGAGACAAAAGTCTTGCCAAGTTGCCAAGGCTGGCCTTGAATGTGGGATCCTCTTGTCTCAGCCTCCTGAGTTGCTGGGATTACAGTTGTGCACCACTGTACCCAGATGGAAATGTTTTCAAAACCATAATACAGTATCACATCCAGAATGTTGGCATACTCTTGACCCACAAATGATCAGATATTCTGTTTTTCTTGTGTTCGTCTGTGTGTGTTGAGTTCTTGAAGTTTTACCACGTGTGTGGGATTATATGGTATGTATTTTGACACCACAGTCAAAATACAGAGCAATGTCACCTTCCTGACTCCCAGGATGGTGGTGTTGTGTACATGGTCCACAGCACGACCCGGATATTGGCTTTGGTGTGTCCAGTGCTGGAGCTCATGGATCACACGTGTGGAGCGAGGCCGAGCTGCCTCCACACTCTGACCTGGGGCTCTGGCAGCTGCCTGATGAGGATCCAGTGTCTGTCCGCAGTGTGGTCCGGCAGCCTTCCAGCTCCGAGAAGGAAAGGCGTGTCTCTGTGGGAGTGCTCTTGTTTTCTCATTCCTATCTGTCCACAGTGGCGCTCTGTTGGCACTTGGCAATGTCCTGGCCCAGATGATTGAGAAGAAGAGGAAAAAAGAAGACTCTCAAAATCTGGACGTCAGTGGGCCTCTCAGATATGCAGTTTATGGGTGAGGGCCACAGCGGGGCCGGCTGACCCAGCTAGCCAAGCACAGCAGAGGCGGGCTGCAGCACCATGGTGGTGGAATTGCCTGACGCTGACAGCCATTGGGGCAAAGAGTTGGAAATCTGTGTGGCTTGTGCACTGTGTGTATGCACGTTAGTTTTTTGTTCTTTTCTGGTGTTGGGGATCTGACCAGAGTCTCACATATTCTAGACCGTGCTCTGCCACTGAACTCCAGCTCTAGCCCCAAACAGTTTTTATGGAACTTTTGTTGAGAAACAGTTTTTATGGAACTTTTGCTGTGTTTCCCAAGCTTGCCTGTGGCTTAATCCTCTTGCCTCATCCCCCTGAGTAGCTGAGATTGCAGGCACATGCTGCTGCTGAGGTGTAGTTCTTAATTTGAATTGCATTTTGAAGGGGACAGGTATCTTGACCTCTCTGAGATGGACCTGTAGGCACATGACTTACCTCAACCTAGAGTCAGATTTCAGTAATCCAAAGATGCTGCCAGCAACCTAGTTGAGCTCACAAAGAGGAAACAGCTCAGAGGGAATGAGTCAGTTTCTGTTGTTTTTACAGCTCCACCAGAAAACAAATGTTGTATCTTGAAGAATGCCCAGGTTGTGAACCACTTTCTGAATCACAGAGACACAAAGATTCAGGACTTTTTTTTTTTAACATTTATTTTTCAGTTTTCGGTGGACACAACATCTTCATTTTATTTTTGTGTGGTACTGAGGATCGAACCCAGCACCCCGCGCATGCCAGGCGAGCGTGTAACTGCTTGAGCCACATCCCCACCCCCTTTTGTTTTGTTTTGTTTGCGGGGGTCAGGGGGGATTGAGACAGGGTCTTACTGGCTCCAAATTTTTAGTTCAGATGATCTCTTGGCCTCATCCTCCAGAGTATCTGGAACTACGGGTACCTGTCACTGTGCCCAGCTAGGAGTTTTAACAGCTTAGTCTACCTTGAGCTTTTGGACCAACATCAGTTTTGTAGATGAATTATTTTGAAGTCTTTTCCAGTCTGTGGGCATACCACCCTGAACGTATGTGACCTTGGCTGAATGCTTTCCAACCGAAGCATCTTTTTTGTGTGCATGGTGCTGGGAGGAACCTACAGACTTATGCACATGAGACAAGCACTCTCCTAGCCTGTAGAGTAACTTTATTTAAAAAAATATGTTTATTTTTTAATTTTAGGTGGACACAATATATTTTATTTTTATGTGGTGCTGAGGATCGAACCCAGTGCCTCACGCATGCCAGGCGAGCACGCTACCGCTTGAGCCACATCCGCAGCCCAAGAGTAACTTTTTAAAAATCTGTAATTCAGGGCTGGGCATGTGGCTCAAGCGGTAGCGCGCTCGCCTGGCATGTGTGCGGCCTGGGTTCGATCCTCAGCACCACATACAAAGATGTTGTGTCTGCCGAAAACTAAAAAATAAATATTAAAAAAAAAAATCTGTAATTCACAATCTTTTTATACTTGCAAGCATGCTAGCATGAGTCATTTTCCTGTGAGGCTCAAATGGATTCCCCTAGACAGCAGTGCGCAAGAAGAACAGCTGGGAGGTAGCGTCCCAGGTACTTCAGTGTGCTCTCTGAGCAGCCCTGCTGTAGACCATGTGACACCCTGCAGTGGGGGGGCATAGGACCTGGGATGGTTCTGGGGTAAGGCCCAGCCTTCCTGGACGTGGGCAGGCAGAAGTTCCGCCTGCTCACACCGCCTTGGACCTCAGGTTCTTTATCACAGGCCCACTGAGCCACTACTTCTACCTGCTCATGGACCACTGGATCCCTCCCGGGGCGCCCTGGGCAGGCATCAGGAGGCTCCTCTTGGACCGCCTGGTCTTCGCACCTGCCTTCCTGCTGCTGTTCTTCCTCGTCATGAACCTGCTGGAGGTGGGTGTCTCCCGAGCACCTGCCAGGGCTCACTTGAGCACAGGGACCAGACATCCCTGGGTAGCTCATGGGTCGTGGGCTTCTTACCGGGCTCAACCTGGAAGTGTGCACTTTCCTCTGTGAGTGTAGGAAGCAGGCCACAGTAGGGCTGGCACTGCTGCTGGTCCCCAGTGAGCTCCCAGGCACACTGGCTCTCCACATCAGCTGTCATAGGCACCTCATGACTCCTGTGTGTGCACTGCTGCTTGGACCTGCTGTCAGGGCTCGTCATGGGTGCTGACAGAAGCTGTCATTCAACTGTACCGCAGGGTATTTTCCAAATGTGTTGGCAACTGTATTTCAGTATGATTGGTTCCTTTCTGGTCCTGTGTATTTATTTATTTATTTATTTATTTGTAGTTGTAGATGGACAGGATGCCTTTATTTTATTTATTTTTGTATGTGGTGCTAAGGATTTAACCCAGTGCCTCATACGTGCTAGGCAAGTGCTCTGCCACTGATCCCCAGCCCCTTATATATTTTATTATTTTCTTAATATTTATTTTCTTCAATTTATTGGGGCTGTGTGTGTGTGTATGTGTGTGTGTGAGAGAGGGGGGGGAGGGGGAGGGAGGGAGGGAGATTGGGAATTAAACCTAGGGCCTCATGCATGCTAGACAAACTCCCTACCACTGAGCTACATCCCCAGCCCTTTCCTAAAATTTTATTTTGAGACAGGGTCTCACTAACTTACCAGGCTGGCCTCCAGTTTACAGTCTTCCACCTGAGCCTCCTGAGTGCTGGGGTCACCAGTGTGTGACAAACTCCTGACAAGGTTTTCTTGGGGATGCCTCAACTCTGGTGGTTATTTATTTTGGAAAGAATTCACAGTGTAGCCTTAAGTAGAAGTTCTGTTGCTGGAACCATGGAGTGAACCATTGTCAGACCAAGTCCAAGGGCTGTGAGGGTGAGACGGGCCCCTGTTGTGTGGGTGTAGCCTGCCACCCTGTCAGGACTGAGGATGTCCAGCTGGTTGGCTGGCTGGCTGTAGCTGTGTCCACACACAAACAGAACAGAGCCACTCAGTATGGTTTTAAAAGATCATTGCCAAGCCGGACATGGTAGTGCCCATCCGTAATCCCAGCTGCTTGGGAAGCTAAGGCAAGAGGAGCGCACGTCTGAGGCCAGCCTGGGCAATTCAGCAAGATACTGTCCTAAAATGAAAAATAAAATTTAAAAAGGCTGGGGATGTATCTCAGTGAGAATTGCCCCTGGATTGAATCCTCAGTATCAGAACTTGGTCAACCAATAAGTAAGGAGGGGGCAGCAGCATGGTGGTAGAGCACCTGCTTGGTCTGCATGAGGCCTGGGGTCCCACCAATAGTGCTGGGTGGGACACAGTCATTGTCATTCAGGTGCCCAGGCTGTGGCTCCCTGGATGGCTAGCTGCTCACCTCTGCCTCTGCCCTCCTTGCAGGGGAAGGATGCTGAGACCTTAGCCACCAAGATGAGGAGTGGCTTCTGGCCTGCCCTGAGGATGAACTGGCGAGTATGGACACCCCTGCAGTTTGTCAACATCAACTATGTGCCCCTGCAGGTGAGGGGCACCTGCCACAAGCGCTTTCCCTCCACCCATCTTGTGTGCCTTCAGCAAGCCATGCTTTCTCTCCAGCCACATTTCGCCCGTATTCCAGGTTCCTTGGCCATCCTTGGGTGGTATCTGCCAGATGTTGTGTTTGGCCTCAGAGCTTTGAAGCCACAGGGGGCCTCCCAAGGGGTCCTTGTGCCCCATCCACTGTCAGTTCGGCAGGAGGCATTTGGTTAAGCAGCCAGCCTAGGAGGCACTCACAGGCTGGGCTCCACCCCTGCTGTTGGGGGAGAGAGGTCCAGCTCAGAACCCCCTTGGGAAAGAGCTCCAAAGGGTGAGGGGAGAGGGAGGCAGGCCCGCACACCTGCCACACACAGAGTACCTGCACCTGGCATACACACAGATACCTGCCCCTGACACACACACGCACACACGCACAGAGATACCTGTACCTGACATATACACACACACACACACACACACACAGAGATACCTGCACCTGCCACACACACACATAGATACCTGTACCTGACATATACACACATAGAGAATACCTGCACCTGGCACGCGCGCACACACACACACACATACACACACACAGAGAACCTGCACCTGGCATACACACAGAGTACCTGCACCTGCCACACACACGCACACACAGATACCTGTACCTGACACACACAGATACCTGTACCTGACACACATACACACAGAGTACCTGCACCTGGCGTGCGCACACATACACATTCAGAGTACCTGCATCTGGCGCGCGCGTGCATGCGCGCGCGCACACACACACACACACAGTACCTACACCTGCCACACACACATACCACACTACACCATGGCGCCACACCTGTCTTGTATATCACACAGACACTACATGTAAAAGCAGTACCTCCACACACACATCTGCATGCAGCACATGTGTGCACACCCACATGCATGGACATGAACACACTCCAAGAGTTAAAAGGAAAGTGGGGAGGGGCTGGGGTTGTGGCTCAGCGGTAGAGCACTCATCTAGCACATGCGAGGCCCTGAGTTCGATCCTCAGCACCACATAAAAATAAATAAATAAAGATATTGTGTCCAACTAAAAAAAAATAAATATTAAAAATAAAAAAGGAAAGTGGGAGCTGGTGCACATCCATAGTTCAGCCACTCAGGAGGCTGAGGCAGGAGGATCGCAAGTGTGATATCATCCTGAACAACCTAGTGAGACCCTGTCTCAAAATAAAAAAGGGCTGGGGCTGCAGCTCAGTGGTAGAGTGCTTGCCTAGCATATGCAAGGCCCGGGGTCAGTCCCTGGTACCACAAAGAACAAAACCAAACAACCCTATACCAAGGGCAGGAAGTGACATGGCAGGGCTGGTTAGACAGAGCAGGGGTTTCCTGGAAATCAGGAAAGCAGCAACTGAGCATTGTTCAGCTTTGACAGTGAGCCTTATCAGTGACTTTCCCAAGAGCAACTCCAGGACTGGATGGGGGCCGAAACCAAACTGTTTCAAATTGAAGAGTGACTAGGAATTGTAGAGGAAACCAGAAAGTTCTCAAGAAGCTTGTAAAGGGGTGGGGGAAGCAGGGGGCTGGCTGTAGAGGGGTCGAGCCTTGGAGATGTGCCCACATTTGGTGCAGCTGTGGCTGCTTTGGGGTGGGCGGACATATGTGCAGAGGGTTCCCTGGAGGCGGAGGGGATGGGGTCCTCAAGTAGGTGCTTAGGCGGGGCCCTTCCTTGGGCGACAGTGGGAGCAGGACTCCGTCTGAGCAGAGGCAGTAGGCTGGGCATTTGGGAGAGTGAAGGAGGGAGTTGGGCACTGTCAAGACTGGGCGAGTGAGCTGCCTAGAGAAGGGGACTCTTGGCAGAGGCTGAATATCCCCCTGGCCTGGGCCTGGGCCAGCCCCTGGGGAGGTGTGAAGGCCAGGGTCAGAGGCTTTCTGGGAAGTGCAGCAAGAGGGAACTGTGCTGTGGCTTGGGGTCCTCAGGCACTCTGGGGAGGCAGGCTGAGAAGGGAGAGGGCAGGCCTCCAAGGCAGGAAGAGGACAGACAGCAGCGCTCCTACAGCCAGGCCAGTGCTGGGAGGCTGTAGCAGTCTTCACACTAGGTGGTTGCAGGAGGGTGCTTGGGGGAAGGAAGCTGTTGAGCCAGCACAGACGGTACCAACCGAGTGCCCTGCAGCTCAGTCCAGGGCTGTGGTGATGAGCCTGGTAGCGGCACCTGACCAAGGCTATTTCAGGGGGCGTCTAGGAGTAGGAACAGGACAGAGGGAGGTGAGAGCAGAGACAGGCCATAGCACAGGGCAGTACTAGGTGAGTAGCTAAGCTGGTGTTCAGATGCCTGTCACTGCCTGTTTGCCATAGCTGTGACATTGTCCTCTCCTCTGCCGGCCCCAGTGCAGGACTTGACAGACGACCACCTGGCCGGCAGTGGTCAGGTGACCTCTGTCCACTGAGTGGCTGGTGCTAGGTGTTGTCACGGCCTGACTGTTCTCTTTGCAGTTCCGGGTGCTCTTTGCCAACCTGGCAGCTCTGGTATGGTACGTCTATCTGGCCTCTCTGGGGTAGTGACGCTGGCCTGGGGAGGACATCAGGTGCATCTGGACAGGGGAGAGCAGAGCCCAGCCAGGACGTCTTCTGACTTTAAATCATGTGATTTGAGATGCCTCAGAATTGTGATTGGAGAAACAGAAGTCTCTAAATGTAAGAGTGCTGTGTCTCAGAGGTGGCCTCATTGCCTGGACCAAGAGGTTGCAATAAACAGAGATGATCAGCTGCTTCCCTGGTGTGGTGCCAGGTTTCGGTTCTCGCGACTAAAAGGCTCAGGGGTCACTCTAGTTAAACTGGGCTAACTGGGCTGCACGAAATAACCACCCAAGAGACACAAATACCTTTTTCTTTGGGGTTGCTGTGACGGCTCCTCTGACCTTAAGGGTCCACAGAAAGAGAGAGAGAGAGCACACGCTGACCCCTTTTATTGAGGAAAAGCTATTCAAATGAGGCAAGGGGTCAGGTTTCAGGGGGCTGAGTCTATCTTCATGATGTCCACTGTCAGCAGGTTGACTGACACCTGGGTAGGCCACACCCAAGGGCACAGTAAGAGGAGGGGACACACACAAGGCATTTCCATGGAAGATTCTATCCTAAATGGGGCAAGGGGTTATATTACAAAGGAACAGATGAGCATAGCTTCACCCATGGGGCTGTAGCAAGACACACCCATTTCTGTGACTGAGCGCCTCAGCATCCAGCTGGGGAGTGTAACTCAGTCACCCATAAAGTTGGCCTCCCACAGTGTGGTTTCTCAGAGGACAGGTCACTGGGGTTTCCCTCTGTGCTGTGGCGCATGCACAACACATAGCTTGCTGTCAAAGCACACAACTCAGTGGCCCAAAATGTGGCCAGTATTATGTGGCCACTGCTGACCCTTCCAGGACTCTCACCTTCCCAAGGTGAAGCTCTACCCCATGAACACCAGCCCTGTCCCTGGGCCCCCGCCATCCCACTGTCAGTTTGAGTGAGGGTGCCTCCTGCAGCAGCATCACAGGGCACTTGGCTTTATGACTGGCTCAGTCGCCTCCATAATATCTGCTGTGGTCTGAATGTGTCCCCTCAGAATTCAAGTGGAAGCTTAACCCTGCTGGGGGGCTGTTAAGAGTGGGGTTTAGGGAGTGGTCAAGCCCCTTGTGAGTGCCATATGGGACAGTGCTGCAGAGTGCTCAGCACAACTAGGACAGGTAAAAGGGCAGCAGGCAGTCAAGGCAGTGGCCCTCCAGAAGGCTTCTCTAAATGTACGGCTACTCCGTGAATTAACCTGTAGGAACATTCCAAAAATCCCAGCTACTCCTTTGTCTCAGAGCATCAGAAAAACGAAAAGAGGGACAGACCTGAGTGAAGCCTACAAGGGAAAGCCTCAAGGGCACAGTTAGAAGGTCATGGGCCAAACCAATAGTCTCGGCACTTTTCCAATGCCTGATTAACAGTAGTCCTAAGTGGACATTATATCCTGCTGGCTGCTGGCACTCACACCCTTGTGGTGTGGCTACCTGTTGCTGTCCTCTGCTGCATGGGCTGTAACCCCACTGGCCATTACAGCAGCAGAGGCAAAGAATGTAGTTGCCTGTCCAACTGGTTTCAGCGGCACCATCTTGGAAGCAAAGAGTTGTGATTGGTAACTCTACCCTGGGCTTCCCAGCCTCCAGAACTATGAGAAATACTCTATCAAATACCCAGCCTGTGGTATTTCATTATCAAGGCTCATCCATGTTAATAGCATTTTAAGAATGTCCTTCCTTTTTAAGGCTGAATGTTCATTTCAGTGTGTGTGGATATCATGTCCTGTTTACTTTTGTTAGTGGACATTCAGATTGTCTTCAGCTGTTGGCTGCTGTACTCCTGCTATGAACACCGGAGTACGGTATCTGCTCATGTGCCTGCTTACCCTCAATTTCAAAGAACTGTTCTTTTGGTTCAAAATACATCAGGGTGGGGTGGGGCAGTTGCTGAAGGAAGTTTAGAGTATTTGCAAGAGTAACAGGTGCTCCTGCAATTGATAAAGACCTTGATGATCACACTACTTCCTGTCTTGGCAGAGTCTACATTCAGTTCTAGAGTTTGGCTGGGAGGAGTGGCACTCGCCTGTGAACCCAGCTCTCTGGAAAGCTGAGAGAGGAGGACCACTTGAGCCCATGAGTTTGAGGCCAGGCTGGGCAACATAGCAGCAAGACCCACTCCCCACCTCTCAAAAAAAAGGTCCATTTCCCAATTTTAGGTGCAAGCCGTGGCACCAACATTTGCTGAGGGAGTTACTGTGCTGGAGGTCATGCTGATCCTACGAAAATCCCATAAAGTAGGCATCACTCTTTGTTTCCATTTCACAAATGGGGAAACTGAGGGAAGACCCGCTAATAGGTGAATCCTGGATTCAGATGCAGGATTCTCTGCCACCACTTTCACATGGGTTCTCAGGATGTCAGGGTGAAGCCAGGAAAAAAGAAAAAATTTGGGGTAGTATTTTTTTAAAGTAATGCAAATTCATACTCTTGGGTTTCTGGCTTATCACGGCCTGCTTTCACTCGGTTCATTTCACACATGTTTACCCGGAGCTGCCAGGCACACAGGAAAGCAGGGAGCGAGGCTGTTAGTGTCCCCACGTGGACATTTACCAGGGATACGGAAAATATGTAAAGGTGGTCACACGGACTGGACACGGTTTAAAGAGAAAGAGAAGCACTTTTATTATCCTCAGTTCTGGGTACCTTGACAAATAATATTTTAGTTGTATTTTTGGACAAAATGAACCCATACAAAGGTCCATGAAGCTGCACTGTTCTGCCAGGGCAAAGCCCCGGGACGCACGCTGCTCGCCCTCCGCGTGCAGCGAGGCGGGCGCCGGCGCCTTCCCAGGCTGAGGGTCGCTCCGCGGTCTCCAGAGCAACTGCCGCCAGCAGGGCGGTGTCGGACGGCGGGGGCGTGAAAGGACCTCCGCCGCTCGCGTCAGGAACCGGCGGAGTCGGACCGCGCAAGGGCCGCGGCCGCCTCCCTTGCACACCCCCGGGTCTGCTCTCCCCCACCGCCGCGGTCGCCGCGCCCTCCCAGCGGCCCCCGCGGCCGGGGCGGGGCTTCCGTCAGCGGAGCGGGCGCGCGCGGAAGCGTGTCCCTCGCGGCGCGCCGTGGGCGGCGCGGACTGCGGCATGGCGTTCCGGCAGGCGTTGCAGCTGGCGGCCTGCGGGCTGGCCGGGGGCTCGGCCGCCGTGCTCTTCTCGGCCGTGGCGGTGGGCAAGCCGCGCACCAGCGGGGACTCGGAGCCGCGGGCGGCGGAGGCGCCGGCCTGGGCGGGGGGCGCGCGGCCGTGCCGGGGCGTCTGGGACCCCAACTGGGACAGGTGCGCGGGGCCGGCGGGCGGCGGGCTTCCTTCCCCTCGCCCCCGGCGCGCGGCGGCGTGTGGGCGCCCGACAGGTGGACGTCGGCCCGGGTCTGTGCCCGGGGCGGCGGTGCCGGTGCCCGGGTGCCGGGTTCCGTACCTGGGGCGGCTGTGCCCGAGGTGCCAGGGTCCGTGCCCGGGGCGGTCGTGCCATAGCAGCTGTGTCTGGAGTGACAGCGTCCTGTGTTAGGATCGCTGTGACTAGTGGTCCTGAGGGTCCGAGTGTGAGGATGACCGTGCTGGTGCCTGAGGGCTAGTGAGCAAGGAGGGTCCACCCCGCTGAGGGTCCATTTGCTAGGAGGAGGCCAGAGTAAACCAGGCGCTTCTTGGGTCTGGTCAGTGCTGTGGCCATCATCTACTTGTCGTTATTGAGCCTTTGAAATGCTCCTGTGATTACACAAGGATTTTTAGTTTTATTTAATGTCAATATAAATTTAAAACCCAAAGCAGTGCAGTTTTTCAATATTTGGTTGAAATAACAGTACTTTTAGTATATTGGATTAAATAAAGTGTATTACTCAATTTCACTTGTTTCTCTTCACTTTTTTAAAATCCTTTATTTATTTATTTATGTGTGATGCTGAGGATCAAACCCAGTGCCTCAGACATGATAGGCAAGCGCTCTACCACTGAGCCACAACCCCAGCCTCTCTTTATTCTTTTAATGCTGCTACTGGACAACTTAAAATTACATATGCTGCTGGGTTCTATTTCTACTAGAGAGACTGCTTTAGAGGCAGGGATTGGTTATTGTGGGATTTACCCAGTTCCAGTTAAACCTCCTAGGTACCTGCAGCTGTTATCTCTACACTGACACTTAGAAATTGGGCACAGAGGTAATATCATATCCCTAGTTGTATCAGGAATTTCATAGTTATTTTTTTAACCTTTAATTTTATTTATTTATTTATTGGTACTGGGGAATGAACCCAGGGGTGCTTTACCACTGATCTACAACCCCAGTCCATTTATTTATTTACTTATTTAAAAATTTGTTTTCTAAATATTTATTTTTTAGTTGTAGTTTGACACAATACCTTCATTCCATTCATCTCTTTTTATGTGGTGCTGAGGATCGAACCCAGGGCCCTGCATGTACTAGGTGAGCGCTCTACACTGAGCCACATCCCAGCCCCTTATTTTTTATTTTTTATTTTGAGATAAGGCCTCACTAAATTGCTGAGGCTGGCCTTGAACTTGTGATACTCCTGTCTCAGCCTCCAAAGTTGCTGGGATTCCAGACATGTGCCCCTGTGCCTGGCTAATCTTTAATTAAAACACAAACTTATTTTGGAATATTTTACATAATAAAAAAGTTGCAAATAGAATCCTTTTATATCCCACATCTAATTTCCTGTTCTTAACGTTTTAACACTAAGTATGGTAGATTTATCACAATTAATAAGTCTATCCTGATCATTAATAATGGAAGTCTGTGCTTTGTTGAGATAACCTTAGTTTTGCTTTCTGTTCCCAGGTCCCACATGGCAGTTGGTTCTTGGTGTCCCTGGGCTCCTGTTAACTTTGTAGCTTCTCAGACTTCCTTTCATGATGGTGGGGAGGTTTCGTGGTGGTCCCTCAGTTGGCGTTTGTCTGATGTTTCTCTTGTGGTTAGACTGTAGTAATTCTCTTTTTTATTTTTTGTTTGCTTTTGGTATTGGGGATTTAACCCAGGGTCACTTAACCACTGAGCCACATCCACCACCCTTTTTATTTTGAGACAAGGTCTCTCTGAGTTGCTTAGGCCCTTGCTAAGTTGCTGAGGCCATTCTTGAAGTTGTGATCCTCCTGCCTCAGCTCCTGAGCTGCTGGGATCATAGGCGTACGCCACCATGCCTAACTCATTCGCTTTAAAAAATCAGAAGAGTGTTCTGAATTTCTCAGGACTTTTAAAGGAAAACATTCACTCTGAGGTCAAAGAACTTGTCTGAAATTAACCTAAAGTTGAGTCCAGCCTTATTTGATTGCAGCAAGGCTCCCTGTTTGCTTGCCATGCTAGACTTCTGGGTGGGGAGATGGGGAAGTCATTGAGCTTGGGGATGGAAGGGCTGGTGGCAGGCAGGGATGCGCAGCACCATGAAGGTAATATATAGGGGGCTTGTCTCTTGTGCCCCCACCCCCATACCAGGATATCCCAGAGCTTTGCATGGAAAAGTCTCAGGCTCCCCAGTGCCTTCTAACGTACCTCTGCTTGGTGTGTGACCAGCACCCCAAGTTAACACTGCCCAAATGATCCTTGAGTCATGAGGGTCAGTGGCCCTCCAGACCTTCCTCTCCCACCACAGTCTCTACCAGGTAGATTCTGGCCAAGTTCCCTGCCCCCCACATTTAACCTTTAGTACTTTTAGTTCCATGACCCCTACCCCCCCAAGTGCCAGTTGACAGCCACTACCCCACTTAAATCAGATAAAGTATGCTTAGATGCAATTATAATTTAATTTAAATTACAGTTGACCTGTGGATACCAAAATCTATGGAAATTCAAATCCCTATGTAAAATGGTGTAGTGTTTGATACAAATGTGCTTTAAATCATACCTAGGTTACTTACAACACCCAATACAGCATGGACCTCATGTAAGTAGTTGTCATGCTATATTGCTTAGGAAACAGTGATAAGAAAAAGAGCCTGCACATGTCCAGTACAGGAGCATCGTCTTCCAAACGTGCCCTTCTGGTGCTGACCGCGGATACCGAAGACTCAGGGGCCACTTGTACTTTGAATTTAAACAGCCCACAACTAGTGGCCTTGGTCAGACAGTGCAGTCCTAGCCTGCAGGCCCCCCTGCACTGCACATGGCTCCTCTTTCTAACACTGGCCCTGAGTCCTCCTGTCCATGGCCTGCTCATCCTCACTGGGCCACACCTTGCAGGAAGGCTCTCCCAGGCACAGAACAGGCGTGGCTACAGCTGTGAGGTGGACGGGGTGTGCAGGCGTTACCCCCGGCTGCCTTGGCTTCTCTGGAGAAGTCACTGTCTTGGCAGAGTTCTCACAGGGGTCTGTAACAGAGGCCACAGCACATGCTGTCGTATCTTTTTTTAAAAATATTTATTTTTTAGTTCTAGTCGGACACAATACCTTTCTTTTTATTTATTTATTTATATGTGGTGCCGAGGATCAAACCCAAGGTCTCACACTTGCTAGGCCAGCACTCTACCACTGAGCCACAACCCCAGCCCAGCCATCGTATCTTTAATACTAGGCGAGAGCCACTCTCTCTGGTCAACCTGCGGAAGAGGAACGTGGAATCTGGAGAGGAGGAGCAGGCGTCCAGGCTGGACCACTACAGGGCGAAGGCCACAAGGCACATCTTCCTCATCAGGCATTCCCAGTACCACATGGACGGCTGCCTGGAAAAGGACCGCACTTTGACCCCACTAGGTATGTGCCTTGGTCTTTTGCCCAGCTGATCCCCATGGTCAGCCTTGAGGGTGTTGGGGCATGGGTCCCCTTGAACCTTCAGGGACCACTAGCCCAGACTTTGACATCATCATTACCTGTGATTTTCAGCTGAACTTGGACAGGAGACAGGCTTCTTAACGTGCCTGTGCCAGAACATACAGGGCTGAGGTTGGCTCATTGTCACGGCACTTGCCCAACATGGGGGAGTCCCTGGTTCCATCCCTAGCACTGAAGGAAACACTCAAGCAAATGCCGTGGTGTCTTGATGCATGAGGTCAGGCCCAGTTCCCAGTCCAGCAAGGCTTATGCTCTTGTTGCTCCAGAAGTGGCACCTCTTACACTCTGTGCCAGGCTCACGGCCCAGCCTGCAGACATCTGCCCAGCACCTGCAGGCTGTCCACAGCATCTGGGTGGCTTGCTGGGCAGCAGTGTCTCGTGCCTGCAGGTGCACCTGTGGAGAAATCCTGGAAATGGAGATGCAAGGGGTGTGGGGAGAGTCTAGACTCAACCTTTGTAGAGGAAGGGTCTCTCTGTGTTGCCCAGGCTGACCCTGAATGCCTGGGCTCCAGCGATCCTCCCACTTCAGCTTCTCCAGTAGCTGGCCCTGCAGACACTGTTCTTGTGCCTGGCTGAGCTTAGTCTGAACAGTTCCTCTCTTTGGATGGGGTCTCCCCATCTGTGCTCATATGGAAAAATTTGATAGTGAAAGGGTTTTCTGGCCTGCTCTCCTGCTCTCGTGAAGACTGCTCCTTCCCTGAAACACTGTACAGACAGGAAGGGAAGCGCCAAGTGCAGAGGTCTCTGCATCTGACAGAGACTGACTTCCTGGCGATTTCCAGCCAGATGCTAAAATACATTTAAAAGAAAGCACCTATATTTGGAGCTGCTTGGTGCTCAGTGATACTGAATCCTCAGTGCGTACGTATTGGCCACCAGGGTGTCACACGGCCGGTGGCTATCATGGTGCTCTACGCTGTGTGGACTTGGTTGAGGCAGAGTAAATCCTGCCTGGACTCCAACAGTGGGGCACATCTGCTCCTTACTGCTAATAGACTGAGGTGTATTTTTCTGCATGGGGTTGAGGACAGTTGAATTGATGATCTTATTGGCATTGCTCATTGAGGCCCTAACCCCTGCTAGGCCCAGGACGGTGGCGGGCATGTGATCCTATGTGGGTGTCACTGGCTAAAAGAGGGATCAAGGTATGTGTGGTTCTGGGGTATTTGCCTTCAAGGTCGGGAACAAGCTGAACTCACGGGGCTCCGACTTGCCAGCCTGGGGTTGAAGTTTAGTAAAATCATCCATTCCTCCATGACCCGTGCGGTGGAGACCACAGACATCATCAGCAAGCACCTGCCAGGTAAGTGTGGGCCAGGGGCCTCTGCACAGGACCAGTGCAGCCTGGGGTGTATGCTGCCCACAGGGGAGGGCCCAGGGTGGCTCCTGGAGTGGACAACACTGTGCTCCTCCTCAGGCGTCTCCAGAGTCAGCACAGACCTGCTGCGGGAAGGTGCACCCATCGAGCCCGACCCTCCTGTGTCTCACTGGAAGCCAGAGGCTGTGGTAAAGACACTGCCCCATGGGTCACTGGGGCAAGGGCTGGGCGTACCTTCTGATAGCCACCTCGCCTTGCTTCCCCCTGATGGTCCTCACTTTGCCCCCAGCAGTATTACGAAGATGGTGCCCGGATCGAGGCTGCTTTCCGGAACTACATCCACAGGGCAGATGCCAAGCAAGAGGAGGACAGCTATGAAATCTTCATATGCCATGCCAATGTTATCCGCTACATTGTCTGCAGGTAGGCACTGCCTGGCCCACAGGGCTGGAGGGTGTAGACCTAGAGAAAAGCCCAGACCACAGCCCGTCCCTTCCCTTTGCCGCCTGCCATCTCTGTGGGTGTGTGGCTGCCCCTCTGTCTCCTCTGGGAGCTTCCGGGCCTTGTCACACAGCTGGAGAGTCCTGGTCAGCTCTCTGGTGGAAAACGTCTGTGAGGTGGGGTTTCTCTGATTGTTTTGGCAGAACGGCACAGGTGGACGGGGCCCTGGTGTCAGAGGGTCTTCTGGGTGGACAGGTAGAGCTGCCGTGGTCAGGGTACTGTATGCTGGGCTTCCAACCCTTTGGTGATGGAGAGATACCTGGGACTGTGCAAAAACCCTGTTTCCCCTCAAGCTGGTGCCAGCGTCTGGGAGGGTCTAAGGGGACCCTGGCAACAGTCACCAAGACCAGCTCGGAGGGGATTCTGCTTCCTGCACTCTTTGTTCCTCCCTGAACACCTTCTGAGGGCTGCGCCTCTTCCTTGGGTGTGTTGAATTGTTTGTTTCTTCTCTCTTGCCTTTGAGGGGCTGGAGATAGAGCCCGGGGGCTTGAACACCTAGGCCACCGGGCCATTTCCCAACACTGTGACTGCCCATGCCGGTGTCTGCTCTCTGGGTCGTGAACTGTGACTGTGCTGGTCACAAGTGCGACTTGTTTGCTGCTCAGGCTGCTCTGCGGGGTCACCTGTGTTTTGGACCTTCCCTACACTCTGGTACCATGGAATGTTCTGGGCTTGTATGTTTGGGTTTTTTCCCCCCCTGATTCTGGGGATTGAACCCAGGGGCACTCTACCACTGAACTACATCACGAGGCCTTGTTATTTTTTTATTTTGAGACAGGGTCTTGCTAAGTTACTAAGGGTCTCACTAAATTGCTGAAACTGGCCTCAAACTTGGAATCCTCCTGCCTTAGCCTCCTGAGTCACTGGGATTATAGGTGTGTGCCACTGCACCTGGCATGACTCATGTATTGTATTGGTCTTAGCTCTGGAATCAGCCTGTTTTCCATGAATGCCAGGGCAGTGTCTATGTGCCCCTTGATGGGAAGGCTCTTGCACTTCAAATATGTAAAAGGACTGACCAAATTTCAGTAGAGTGCAGACTTTGAGAAGCAGTGGAAGCCTGTCTCCACCCGTGGACCCACTAGAAAACATTCAGCAGGGCTTCCGTCACCAAGGACTGCCTCTCCTCTGCACCCAGAGTCTGGTCAGTGGTACTGTCTGGAGTGAGGCGGTCTCTCTTCCTGTCTGTGGTATGTCCACAGGGCTATGGTGACCCATCTGCTTAGGCATCCCATATGTGGTCCAGCTAGAAGCCCAAGGATGGTGGGGGATCCCCAGAGTCAGAGAGTGCCCCCCCCCCACCCCACCGCAACGCACAAAGCTGTCGGGGAGTTGGGATCCTCCCCTGGCTCATGGTGGCAGGAAGGGATGCGGCTGGTGGCGGGGTGTTGTGCTCAACCTGCAGCAAGAACAAGGTTCCCAGGATGGCCCATCCCCTGTCTGCTGGACCTGTGTCGTGCACTTCCTGCCTGTGATCAGGCCATTCTGGTACTCTGTGTGCTCCTGTTGACACCACATTATCTTGTGAACCCTGACAGTTATGGGAGGTGACCCTGATGCCAGGATGCACCAGAAGCCCCGTGAATGGAGTTCCCCAGGGCAGTCAGGGCGGCCACGTAGTCACGCGGTCTCCACTGTGCTGTCTGTAGGAGCACGCCCTGCAAACTATGAGGGGTGATACTGAGAGGATTTTAAAAAGCAGCATGGAGCCACAGTGGTGCACGCCTGAAATCTCAGGAGGTTGGAGCTGGAGGATCAAAAGTTCAAGGCCAGTCAGCAACTTAGACCCTTTTTTTTTTCCTTAATGTTTTTATTAGTTGTTGATTGTCCTTTATTTATTTACTTATATGTAGTGCTAAGGATTGAATCCAGTGCCTCACACATGCTAGGCAAGTGCTGAACCACTGAGCCCCAGCCCCAGCTAGACCCTTATAGCTCAGTGGAGAGGCATCTTGGGTTTCAATCTCCCGTATTAAAAAAAGGAAAAAAAAAAAAAAACAAAACACATTCACCAAACCCGCAGCAGAAAAATGTCACCATGTCCACTGGGTTTGAGGATCAGATTGGCTTCTGAAGCATGAAGGACATTTGGTGACTCAAGGAAGATGTGATACTGAGCTTCTTAGCAAGTGTTTTTTGTTCCTAATAAGCACTTTTAAGGGCATGAAAATGCTACAGGGTTGTGGATTGCACCTCCATCCCCTGGCACAAAACATTGAATTTTATGAGAAATGGATCTAGTGTACTTTGTCCTCTCACTTGTTACATTGTAAAGAAGAAATAAAATTGCATGCCCTGCAAGGAACTTGTTTGTGCTGATCACACAGCTTGAGTCTGGTGGAGCCCTGGTGGATCCAGGGGCCCTTTCCTCTGAGCACCCTCGAGGGACCAGCTCCCCCTCCAAGGGACCAGCTGAAGTGTCTGCTCTGCTCTGGTGCTCCAGGGTCTGGGCCTTGCCTGTCCCTCAGGGCACTGTGGCCCCCTCTGCATGAGCTTCCTCTGGCATGTTCTTTCTTCCCGCAGAGCGCTGCAGTTCCCTCCAGAAGGCTGGCTCCGTCTCTCCCTCAACAATGGCAGCATCACCCACCTCGTGATCCGACCGGATGGCCGAGTAGCACTCAGGACCCTTGGGGACACGGGGTTCATGCCCCCCAACAAAATCACCCGGTCTTGAGGGCCCCTCTGGGACTCCACCCTTCTCTGCGTGCAGCCTGGTTCAGCCTTCCCTCTTGTTCCTTGTCCAGGCTGCAGTGCAGCTTTGAGGAAGAGGCTGTGGAATGTCTCAGATGCTGGGGACACTTGTGTCTGGCCCACTGAAAGGGAAACCTTCAGGCCAGACAACCTGACTTCCTTCCTTTGGCCTGCCAGGACAGCCCCATGGGTGTGGGGTGAGGACCTTCTCAGGCAAGAGGACAGCCTGTGCTGGGCTTTGAATAAGCCCTGCTTGCCATCCCTCTGGACCACCATGGCAGGCCTGCATGGGTGGCCACAGCAGCAAGTGACTCTGGGCTCCGCCTAAGCTGGTGCAGCAGGACAAGCTTTCTAAACAACTCATTTCATTCACATGTTCTTATTCTGAAAAGCCTTTGTCACTTCAGTGTTCGTCAATTAAAACCTATTCCTCATTTGGGTTCTTGCTTTGAAAACCAATTTCTCACCAGAGTGAGAGATCCTGACGCTGTAGGATCTAAAGGCACAGACACTGGCCAGCCGCACAGTGGATTTGGGTGAGAGAGGAAGTGAGTCTGGAGTGCCATGTCCAGGGGCTGGCCACACCAGGCAGGGACTGCGGGCTTGTGATGGCCAGGCAGGGAAGATAACCCAGGGCTGACATCTCCATCCTAGTCTGCTCCTGGCCACAGTTCATCTTCTGGGCTTGTGGGTTAACATTTGGACATGATATGCCTACCCCAAATATCTGTTAATTAAACAAAAGCAGTCCAGTTTTTACGAAGTGCTCACGAACACTTTCAGTAATCAATACAATGAATTGGGATATTTGATCCATTTCTCTGGCCTCTTTGGAAATAACTACATAATAAAATTTTAAAAGTACAAATCGTGATTGTTTTAAAGAAAACGGGAAACCTGTGCCGGGACACAGCAGTGGCGTCACTAGAAATCCCTTTCGATGGGCGCTTGTCTGTCCTCAGCCTGGGTACCTCAGCGTCCTGCCACCCCGAGGCAGGGCCGCGCTAGGGCCCGCCTGTGCGGAACTTGGCGCAGGACGTGTGTGTCGCCCGGACGCAGGGCTGCGGGGAAGCCTCCGCTTTTGCACACGCCCTGCTTGGATGCCTAGTCCATTCCGAGGCGCAGTCTCCTCCCTGGACCTCGGAGCCAGCAAATGGGAACCAGACACAGTTCAGGGTGGTGGCAGGCCAGGGTCTCCTCCTCCACACTAGCCACACCTCGCCTCAACTCGCCCGGTTTGGCTCTGCCCTGGCCCTTCACCTCCGCCTCACTCCGCCCTTGCCCTTCACCTCCGCTCTGCTCCTCACTTCTGGGTCGCGCAGAGTCCATCTCATATGGAGATGGAGGACCTGGGATTCTGAGTAGCCTGGAGCAGAGGAGCTGGAACGAGACCTTGGTAGAAAGACTTAGAAGGACGTAAGTCACTGGATGACCAGAAGAGCTAGCAATCTGCAGATGCTCCTCCAAGAAATCCCCAGAATGAAAACTGCTGACCTTACATTTGAAGTCAAAGATGTGAAACGGCTTCAGGTTTTGTCTGGAAAATTATACCCCTTTCTAGGAGCTCGCAGCAATTGTGCCCTGTATGAAGCTTCGTTGTTGTTCGCTTTTTTCCCTTTGGTACCAGTGGTTGAACTCGGGATTAACCACTGAGCACGTACCCAGACATTTTTTGATTTTATTTAGAGACAGGGCCTCGCTAAGTTGCTGAGGGCAGCTGTGACCTCGCAGTCCCGAGCCGCCGCCATCACAGGCGGGCGCCACCGTATAAATTCCCAGCAGACTTTCTTCTCCACCGTTCCTTGTGTTTGCTGTTCGGAGTGGTCTTCCCCGCTCGCCTTCTCAGTGGTAAGGACCGGGCCTCAGTCCTGGCGGTGGGGATGGCTGCTGACTCCGCGTAGCAGGGTAACTCCTGAAGGCTGGATATGGAGAAGGCAGAGGGGCAGGGCGCCAGAGTCTCTACAGCATCCACACCCACGGAGGGACCTCACCATTTGGATGGCTTCATTCCAGGGTCTCTAGGACACTGACGTGGGAACCAGCTATTTGTTCCTCTCATGCTGGGGACAGAAGCCATGTCCCTGGCTTGGGATGGATGGGGATTTCTTAAACAGTGGGAACAGCAGTCCCTCTATCTGAAACAAAACTTGCACGACCTGATGGAACTGGACTGAGATGGCAGCTGGTACCCCAGGACTGCTCAAGTGGATGCTTCAAGTGACGCCCACACTAGGCCCTGATCAGTCCTTGTCCAAGAAAGCTGTGAATGTTTCTGGAGAGACCTATCATCATTCAAAAGGATCTGGCTATGGTCCCTGCCAGCGCAGAGGGCACTTGTTTTAGTGGCACCTGAGCTTGCTTTTCCCCTGAAAAGAGGAGTGGGGACTTGTTCTGGATTCCACCCACCCACCTCTTTGTGGGGAGTATCTTACATCATCATCTTCAAACCGAAGACTTCCCGGAGCCATCCTTCAACTGTGTAAGAACTAAAAACAACATGGAAGCTGTTAGGCCAGAAAGTCTGGTACCTGGGAACTCCCAGCAGAACTCCTGCTGGTTTGAGACTGCCCAGTACATGTGGCTTCCTATCTAGCTCCGAGTTCAGCACTGCACTGGAGATGGGTGACAAGCTGGAGCCACACAGCCTCCTGGAGATGGGTGTAGCTTGCCAAGATGCCAATCAACCTGTTTGCTGCAAGTCCCGTCTTTGATGTGCTCCCTTAAATAAAAGACCAGAGCCATTTTTCAGTTGTTTAGTTCCAGCGCCTATGTGGACTGGAGGACCTATTAGGCGCTCCGTCTCCTTTAAACCTTTTTTCCTGGCTCTCTTATTCTTTACTAATCATTCTCTGGTGGCTCACACCTACCCTGATGGGGTGCCAGCTGTCCTGTGATAGAAGATTACATGCCATCTCACAAAAAGAGGCCTCCCACTGCCAAATGCAGCTATAAAGTTTGTGCTACTTTAATTGATACCAGTGTTTCTTACAACTGTGTAAGTAAAGAAAGGGGAAGAAAAAGGCAAATAAGCTGGGCATAGTGGTGTGTGCCCATAGTCCCAGCACTGTGGAGGCCAACGTGGGAGAACTGCTTGCTTGAGTCCAGCAGTTCCAGAGGCCAGCTGGGCACTACATGGAGACCCCATCTTAAAACAAAACCAAAAGACCCCAAATGATAATCCCAACTAAATCAATCCCTCAGGTAAATGTACTGTTTCATCAAAACACTGCTCAAAGTTTCACTAAAAAACATTCTGCCCAGCCACAGGTGAGAGATCTTTTGAAGGCATGGTGTAAAAATAAACTTACTTCATTTAGTAGTTTTTTAAAAGGACACAAGATCACCCAGGAAACAAAGCATTTACTGAGTATAGGTTCAAACAAATGGAGAAATAGTCAAAGGGGCCTAAAACTACAGAAAACAGGAGTCTGTAAAATTAGAGCAAAAACTATTTAATTTCAATCTGCACATTTACAACAATATATAGAATAATAAGGTAAGACTTTGGAGAAAACAGAGCATCTCTGTGAGTGTAATATCCATGTTTTGATTTTCCAGAGCTTGTCTGTGGCACAACAATGAAAACACCCTGTGTGACAAACCTGGATTTAAGACCTAAATATTAATTCCAATATTCCCAACTAAAATGTTTATCACATGAAATAAAACTTTTTTCTTTACACAGTTTAATTCAGCAATTTTACATATGAAAAGGAATACCTACTTAATATTATTTTATAGTCTCAAAAAGTAAATTCGGGACAATTAAAAATGATTTACAAAAGGCACTAAGGTTGGCAAGAGCAGCAGCAGTTTTCGTTTTGGATCAAACACTGGACATGTCCACAGAATGCTGTGTGGGAGCCACTGTCCTGACACCTGGAAGAGACTGGCCTGCTGCAAGGCCACCCTACCTCAGGCACCCTGGCAGCTGGCAGTGTTTCCTGCTCCCCACATGCTCTAGGGACAGACCTTCCCCAGGCTGGTGCCAAGGGAAAAGGTTAACGTCAACACCACAAGTAACTGGAACGGACTTAAATTTTGGTTTCTGTACTGCAGCAAAACGCTCTTTTCAAGGAAATCCAATTGAAATGAATTCTAAACGTGGGATCCACTTGTATAATCTGCAATAGAAAAATTTATGCTTAACTAATTCTCAGGACAAATTTCAAAGCTAGGGAACAGGTTACAGATTAATGGTCACTACCAAGCTGGTGACTAAGGGAAGCAGAGGGACAGCTCATGTGCTGGTGAGTTTTCTGACCATCTGCATGGATCCCAATAGCTACACATTTTTTTCCAAGAGAAAAGCTACTTTCACCTACTACTCTGATCAGCAGTGTTTTGAACACCACTGAGTATCTGACACAGGCAAGCTCACTGGCTCCCTGTTGCCCATCCAGGAAGACTTGCAGACCATTCATGTTGGCCATTATCCTGCACCAGAATGCGGCTGCCCCAGAAAAGGCAAGATAACATGCAGCTCGCCCTTGTCTGGGTGAGCACTGACTTCCCTAGCACATACAAAAAGACACAAGAGGCAGCCAGTCCAGCCTTCTAGTAGAGGCAAGCACAAGAGCTACAGGGTGATGCTGACCTCAGGGCCAGTCACCTCTTGTCCATAGCGCCTGCTCAGTATTGGGAAGTGATGGCCACCTGATGTTTAAGGGCCTTTGCACCTTTGCCCAACAACAAACCCGGGATCATTACTCGAAACACGTATCTGAGTGTACTTTTGTTAACTTCTTCCATTTATCAGAAATGTAAATTTTATTTAGAACATTTGCATTTCTAAAATTATACCCTCAAAGTGAGGATTAATAAATTATTCAGAATATACTCCTTTATGAAATTTGACCAATAAGCCTAGGAACCCCAAGCCTCTGCAGCAAGTGCCAACCCTACAGGGCTGTGAGCTGGGCCATGTGTGCCACCCTGCGGAGATGGCTCCCGTGTGCAGGGCTATAGCGCCTGGGGCTTCCCAGGCCCGGTGAACAGGAAGCATGGCTGAGTTTCCCAGGGCTGCTGCCGGCTGCACCGCTTCGCACTGGATTGTAGCTTTGAGGGCATCCAAGATCTGGCAGCTGAGACTTGAACTTTCCTTTCAGTGCAGGGCTTGGCCAACTACGGAAACCAGAATAAGATCTGTTACCTCAGCGGCACACCTGCAGAGTGGAGGTTCAAGGAGAACAGGCTCTGGGACCTGATACACACACCATGCCTGGACAGGGGCCACCACAGTGCAGAGGGGGTGCTCCTGAACCTAGGGCCCTGGGCACTGGAAGGTGAGGAATGTGCACATGCAGATGTTCCAAAAAGAGATGTGTGACCTTGACTGCAAACGTGGTTGCTGTCACCCCGAACACTCAAGCAGCTGTTCTCATTTTCCCCCAACTAGAGACATATCCCATGTGAGAGTCATGGCCATGTGGAA